ACACACACACACACACCAGACACACGTCAGCAGCGGCACTGAACGCGGATCCACAACAGAACCGGAACACAATACAATGCTGAATAAAGTCCTAGTTTTTGTTATTTTTGGACCAAAATGTATTTTCGATGCTTCAACACACTCTAACTAACCCACTGATGTCACATGGGCTACTTTGATGAAGTCTTTATTTCCTTTCTGGACAAGGACAGTATACCGTACACACATTTACAATGGAGGGACAGAAAGCTCTCGGACTAAATCTAAAATATCTTAAACTGTGTTCTGAAGATGAACGGGCTTGGAACGACATGAGGGAGAGTCATTAATAACATCAGTTTCATTTTTGGGTGAACTAACCCTTTAACAAATACAACCTTTGATTTTAATCATGTATTAGTAAATGTTGAAATTAACATTAGCTAAGATTAATAAATGCTGTAGAAATATTGTTCATTCTTAGTTCATGTTAACTAATGCACCTTATTGTAAAGTGCAAGCTTTTCTTCTTCTACCCGTCCTGTTATATTTCAAAGTGACTAAAGTAGAGCTACCGAACAAGACGGCTTCTCTCTGCCATGATCTATTAACATCGTGTAATCGACGCTATGTGTTTTCCAGCATAAAGTACATCGGTGAGGAGGAAAAGTGGCATTAGTAATGTTAGCAGATGTGCTTATACTCCTTTCACTATATTTTATGATAAGCCAGTTACTCACCGGTGTAGAATCCAGACTGCACGGCTTTTTTATGAACTCTGACATACTAAAATGTTCAAGTACGTCTTTTGATAGCATGCATGTCCTGGTGAAAAGGCTTTTTTATTTTTCTTGCTTTCATGCTTTTGTTTTTTAACCATTGCAGCATAATATTATTTCAGCTGAAATGCAGCCAGAAGAGATTTTGTATTCATATAAGTGTCTGGAAATACTAATCTGTAGCTGTTTTACATCCATCAGTGTAATTAAGTTGGACGGCGCTGCAAAATGAAGAGGAGAATGGAAATGCTGAGAAAAGCACGTGGGATTGGATCGTTTGGAAGGAACGCTTTAGATCAATTATGATTCTGTTCATGTTGCAGCCATGACTTCTGCTTAAAAACATCATGCTAGATTATTGTTTTAAAAAGGACTGGGCCACCCAATCTATCATTACATAACATTGAGTCATCACGTCAATTCAACAAAAATGAGCAGAGCATAAAACAGGTTACACTATATATATATACACACACCCTTAATGTAATCCATCATATTTTGAAATAACCAGATGGATTATAATCTCAGACACTCGCAAGATCCCAATATTGATAAATATGAGTGTGTTTTATATGTAGTTTGTTTGTCTAATGAAACTGACAATTAGTTTGCCAAGTAACTTTTGGTTGTTTCTGTAGATGTTTCTGCTTTAGAAGCAATTATCATTAACAATTTGTTGACTGGCCGGTCTATAAACCCATTATAATTGAACTATAATTATAATTATAGCGAAATAAAAATTAAATAACATAGTAATTTAAATTATCATCAGCGTTTTATCTATTATACAGGAATGTATAAAATCACTACACAAATGCATGCAGCTATCTAAACAAATTACACTATTTAAAAATACATAAATAATTTGAGGTCCAAATATCTGAGACCATTAATAATAAAAAAAGTTGTAATTTTATCGTTTTTGTTTTTAATCATTTAAATATAACAGTATTTTAATAAATGTTATAACAACACATTAGTTTGGTCTCAGTTTTTGGGTCATTTAATAAATATTATTATCACTATTATTATCACGTTAACACTTTACAATAAGGTTCATCAGTTAACATTAGTTAATGTATTAACTAACACAATGAGCAATTTTTACAGTATTTATTAATCTTTGTTAATGTTAGTTAATAAAAATACAGCTGTTCGTTGATTGTTTATGTTAGTTCACAGTGCATTAACTAATGTTAACAAATACAACCTTCAATCTTAATAACATATTAGTAAATGTTGAAATTAATATTAACTAAGATTTATAAATGCTGTAGAAGGATTGTTCATTCTTAGTTCATGTTAACTAACTAATGTTAACTAATGAACCTTATTGTAAAGTGTTACCAGTATTAATATTATTATTCAATTTAATTCACATTTATTTGTAGAGCGCTTTTTACAGTACACATCATTTCAAAGTCCACATTACAATTTAGAATAATCTGATATCAGAAGTAACCGTCTAAGTTAAGTATTTCAGAAATGTACATATACAAATCACAGTTAGCTAAAAAAATTATAATTTAAACAATGTAATAATTTAAGGCAGAAACAATGAGCTGATTGAAGTAATGAATACGTGTTTGTTAACAAAAAGTACTCATTATGCTTAAGTCATTTAGTGTATGTAAAAATATTTTTGTTCCCATCAAATTTAATTCTAATCAACTCTGCTTAAAGGTTATGAAATACAAAAGCAAAACCCGGTCAATCATGTGTCACGGAGTGTTGCACAGGGAACAAGCTGATGCTTTTAGAAAGCATTAGAGAGTTGTCTGTTATCTGGCAGGACAGTTAAAGTGAAAGTTTAGCCCATGATTGAAGATTCTCCTTCAAACGCTCCCGGGGGTCCGGCTGACTTCCGGCTGGCTTCCGGTCATTAAAGAGACAGCGCATCGACTGCCATCTGTGTGACTGACAGCCCGTCATCAGCTCGCCGTGTGGAGTCCACCTGAACATCTGTGAAAGCCGCCGGACGCCACGCCGGTGGAGCGAGACACTCCTGAACACAGCGAGTGTGTTGATGTAAATCAGTCTCTGACAGCTAAAGTGCCCAGCGTAATGCTTTTAATAAGACAGCTCTGTTATTGTAAAAGCTCGTTCTCTGCCTTGTTGCAAAACCCGCAGTGCTGTGACCATAAAACTCGTCCTCACAATCTGCCATCTGAACATCGGCCAAGAACGCAGCTCAGAAAAAACATCTGAGAAGTTTCACTGCGTCTAAACAATTCTAGACGACAATCGAACAGCCGAAGTGCCGAGCGTCAGGAAGAAGCGCTGATCCCTGTCGGGTTTAGACTCGTAAACACTTCTGACAGATGGACAGAATAATTCAACTACGGAACGATAGACAGAACGATAGAACTATAGACAGACAGACAGACAGACAGACAGACAGACAGACAGACAGACAGACAGATAGATAGATAGATAGATAGATAGATAGATAGATAGATAGATAGATAGATAGATAGATAGATAGACAGACGGATGATAGATAGATAGATAGATAGATAGATAGATAGATAGATAGATAGATAGATAGATAGATAGATAGATAGATAGATAGATAGATAGATAGATAGACAGACGGATGATAGATAGATAGATAGATAGATAGATAGATAGATAGATAGATAGATAGATAGATAGACAGACGGATGATAGATAGATAGATAGATAGATAGATAGATAGATAGATAGATAGATAGATAGATAGATAGATAGATAGATAGATAGATAGATAGATAGATAGACAGACAGACAGACGGATGATAGATAGATAGATAGATAGATAGATAGATAGATAGATAGATAGACAGATAGATAGATAGATAGATAGATAGATAGATAGATAGATAGATAGATAGATAGATAGATAGATAGATAGATAGATAGATAGATAGACAGACAGACGGATGATAGATAGATAGATAGATAGATAGACAGACGGATGATAGATAGATAGATAGATAGATAGATAGATAGATAGATAGATAGATAGATAGATAGATAGATAGATAGATAGATAGATAGACAGACAGACAGACGAATGATAGATAGACAGATAGATAGATAGACAGACAGACGGATGAATGATAGATAGATAGATAGATAGATAGATAGATAGATAGATAGATAGATAGATAGATAGATAGATAGATAGACAGACAGATAGATAGATAGATAGATAGATATACAGACAGACAGACAGACAGACAGACAGACAGACAGACAGACGGATGAATGATAGATAGATAGATAGATAGATAGATAGATAGATAGATAGATAGATAGATAGATAGATAGACAGACAGACACATGATAGATAGATAGATAGATAGATAGATAGATAGACAGACAGACGGATGAATGATAGATAGATAGATAGATAGATAGATAGATAGATAGATAGATAGATAGATAGATAGATAGATAGATAGATAGATAGATAGATAGATAGATAGATAGATAGATAGATAGACAGACGGATGAATGATAGATAGATAGATAGATAGATAGATAGATAGATAGATAGATAGATAGATAGATAGATAGATAGATAGATAGATAGATAGATAGACAGACAGACACATGATAGATAGATAGATAGATAGATAGATAGATAGATAGATAGATAGATAGATAGATAGATAGATAGATAGATAGATAGATAGATAGATAGATAGATAGATAGATAGATAGACAGACAGACGGATGATTGATAGACAGACAGACAGACAGACAGACAGATAGATAGATAGATAGATAGATAGATAGATAGATAGATAGATAGATAGATAGATAGATAGATAGATAGATAGATAGATAGCTAGATAGATAGATGATAGATAGATAGATAGATAGATAGATAGATAGATAGATAGATAGATAGATAGATAGAATCTATATTTAAAAGTGCTATCTAACATGTAATCAATTTTGAGGGTTAACGTGTAAAAACATAACATTTTTTTAATTTTTCTTCAAAAAAGTTAAAATGTAAGCAAAAAATATCTGTGACCTGAGCCTTTATTCGTCTCACAGCTGCTTTAGACTTTAGCTTTAGTTCTGACTCGCACATCCAAAGTGTCAGTTTTCACACGCCAAGCTTTACTCTTTACACACACTATATCTTCTACTGTACACACACACTTCTCTTCCCTCTCCGCTGCTCTTCTCAGCTCACCCAACCGTGAGTAACAGTGTTTGCTGGCGTGCGCTGAGGACGCGACTCACCTTCTGCAGCCACTGTGTGTAGTTCTCCATGACGTGCTCCAGCTGCTGGATCTTCTGGCTGGAGAACTCGTCCTCGGCTTGAGGAGCGTCTCGCTGAAGAGCGTTCGCGTTGTACGCCGTTCCCGCTTTAAACTCTCGACAAGCTCCTGCGTCGTTCTCCGGGAGGATGAAGGTGTAACTGCACTGTCCGTGTTGAATCCGGTGGTGTTTCCGGCTGCTGTTGCTCTTCCCCGTGGAGCTTCTGAGTCCTTCCTCTGCTCCTCGTCTCTGATCGGTTCCTGCACAGTCTGAGAGAGCCAGCAGCGCTGCCAGACACACACACCGCCACACACACCACATGGCCGGAGCTGGAGGAGTGTGTTCAAGGGTTCGCTCGGGTCCTGTAGTCCAGAGTCAGGTGGAGTCGGTGCGAGGAGAGATGTTCATGTCTCTGGACCGGTGCCTGGAGGTCATCGTTGATCCGGTCACCTGCTCAAAACACTCTAATAGTTGAAGCTCTTGGGGAAACTGAAGCTTTGAGAAACTGCATGTGAAACGCAGTTATGAAGAAAGCATGAAGATGTAGTCTGGAGTTGTCAGACCTCCCCTGGCGCTCTCTCTCTCTCTCTCTCTCTATGTTTGCTCTGTGTGTGTGACCGTGCGACTCAATGACTTTGCTCTGGGTTTCTAGCATGCTCTGCGCCGGCCCCTCGCAGTGACTGGAGAGGAATGTGTGCGTGTACTTGTGTGTGTGGGTGTGTGAGAGAGAGACAGAGAGAGAGAGAGAGAGAAAAGGAAAGTGAAGCGTAGCGGGACCCCAGCGAAGAGGATGTTCTCAGTGCTTGAGGATCGTTTTACAAGCGTCCTGACCCTGTGTTTGTGTAGTAGCCCTGCCTCCTGTACACTGAGTCTTCAGTAACACACACGCACACACACACACACACGCACAGACACAGACACACACAGACACACGCACGCACACACACAGACACGCACGCACACACACAGACACACACGCACGCACACACACACACACACACACACACAGACAGACAGACACACACACACACAGACAGACAGACACACACACACACACACGCAGGACAGCAGATCAACTTTTACACTATATTATTTGGTTGCATTAAAGAGATAGTTCACACGGAATTGTTATCATTTATGCATATCATGTTTTCCATAGTATGATTTTTTCCCCCCATAAAACCCCAAACGAGATGTTTAGCAGAAACTATATGTCCTCCATTGCCTTAAAATAAAAGTGAATTATGACCAAAGCTGTCAAAGTATTTTCAGAGATTAAACACTCATTCTGAAAACTCTGTTTTTTTTATTCTGAACTCATATAAAGCTGATATATGGCTACAATGATTTGGAATATATATATAGTGATAATATATAATGAGGTAACATGGGTTGTTTTATATATATATATATCTAGTGCAGCGTGAACATTTTTAAAAACTTTAAGTTTGTGTTTTATAGAACTGAGTCTAGAACTGAGTCTAGAACTGAGTCTAGAACTGAGTCTAGAACTGAGTCCAGAACTGAGTCCTGAGTCCAGAACTGAGTCTAGAACTGAGTCCAGAACTGAGTCCAGAACTGAGTCCAGAACTGAGTCTAGAACTGAGTCTAGAACTGAGTCTAGAACTGAGTCCAGAACTGAGTCTAGAACTGAGTCTAGAACTGAGTCCAGAACTGAGTCTAGAACTGAGTCCAGAACTGAGTCTAGAACTGAGTCTAGAACTGAGTCTAGAACTGAGTCCAGAACTGAGTCTAGAACTGAGTCTAGAACTGAGTCTAGAACTGAGTCCAGAACTGAGTCTAGAACTGAGTCTAGAACTGAGTCCAGAACTGAGTCCAGAACTGAGTCTAGAACTGAGTCCAGAACTGAGTCTAGAACTGAGTCTAGAACTGAGTCCAGAACTGAGTCCTGAGTCCAGAACTGAGTCTAGAACTGAGTCCAGAACTGAGTCCAGAACTGAGTCCAGAACTGAGTCTAGAACTGAGTCCAGAACTGAGTCTAGAACTGAGTCTAGAACTGAGTCTAGAACTGAGTCCAGAACTGAGTCCAGAACTGAGTCCAGAACTGAGTCTAGAACTGAGTCTAGAACTGAGTCCTGAGTCCAGAACTGAGTCTAGAACTGAGTCCAGAACTGAGTCTAGAACTGAGTCCAGAACTGAGTCCAGAACTGAGTCCATCTGTCCTGATTCAGGAGCTTCATCATCAGAGGAGAAGCGGAGCGTCCGTCGTTTATACTGACCCTGGATCAGCTTTCCCCATTCAGACTCCAACCAACTATTGTGAGATAAACACAAAGCGCTGCTCTCAAACCGCAACCCAACAGTTGGCAGGATACTGTGCTTGGAGACAGGAGGTCAAAGGTCAAGTTCCAATTAAAGCCCCTCACCCCCTACTATGGCAACCTAGCTGGCAGATGAAGACTGAACGCTTTTTACTACACTGACTATGAGACAATGACTCAGTAATCCTCCTCCTCCTCCTCTTCCTCGCGGTTGCAGGCGGCCCAAGATAACGAGCCCAGAATAACCCTGAGTCGTCTTTACTAAAGCATGAGTAAACATTTCTCTGAAACCTGACGCCACACCCCCGTATCTATAGGCGTCTGTTTCCGAACCATAGAAGCAGTGGAATAAATGAATTTCGGATTAGAATGATAACTGTTAAAAAAATAATCAAATATAGTAAATTTAGAACTATTTTTATCTGGTGGGTTGTGACCCAAAAATAGGTCGCAGACAGCAGAGAAAAACAAGGCCAAATATGATGAAAAAATAAGTAATATAAAATAAATGAATAATATTAAATACAATTATAAAATGCATCCTTAAAACATATTAATATAGGCCTATATAATCATTATACAATAGTGTTATAATCGGCTATATGACATTCATGGAAATATCAATAAACGTAATGTTTGATTGTCTAAAACACAGCACTGATGAGGAAGAGCCGAAGTTTCCCACTGAATCGTGTTTACAGAACATCAGAACATCAGAGACCAGCATGATGAACAGTGTGTGACTCGCCGTCGACTCAAGGCTTCGGGAAATGCACAAACCGTGCATATTTACACCGTCATAATTGGTTTGTGTAATCTACACACCAAAGTCTTGGCTGGAATGTAAACTCAGAACACGCTGCGAGAAAACAAACATGTTCTTCATGCGGACGGATTTAACTGCTTAGACTGCATCACAGACCACCAAATATATAATATACCAACTTACAAAAGTATGTTCTAAAACGTTCTCATTAACTTTTGAAAACGTTATTTCTCCACACACAGTTTTTTCTTGGTTATTTGAACACTCCATTTCATCATTCTGCAAACATTATTTGAACGTTACTTGTTCTCTGAACATTCCGAAACAAGTTACATTTAAAAAATGTTATGAGCACATGATTAAAGACTAGATTTTTTTAAACAAACATTCTATTAACTTTCATCTAAGAATGTGTTCACAACTTTGAGAAAACCTTTTCAGAACGTTCCCTGTTCGCTGGGATTGTTCTGTAAGCCTTTATTGCACACTGAAGATGGATGGATGGATGGATGGCTGGATGGATGGATGGATGGATGGATGGATGGATGTTTGGATGGATGGATGGATGGATGTTTGGATGGATGGATGTTTGGATGGATGGCTGGATGGATGTTTGGATGGATGGCTGGATGGATGGATGTTTGGATGGATGGATGTTTGGATGGATGGATGGATGGATGGATGTTTGGATGGATGTTTGGATGGATGGATGTTTGGATGGATGGATGGCTAGATGGATGGATGGATGGATGGCTGGATGGATGGATGGATGGATGTTTGGATGGATGGCTGTTTGGATGGATGGATGGATGGATGGATGGATGGATGGATGTTTGGAAGGATGGATGGATGGATATTTGGATGGATGGATGTTTGGATGGATGGATGGATGGCTAGATGGATGGATGGATGGATGGATGTTTGGATGGATGGCTGGATGGATGGATGGATGGATGTTTGGATGGATGGATGGATGGATGGATGGATGGATGGATGGATGGATGGATGGATGGATGGCTGGATGGATGGATGTTTGGATGGATGGATGGCTAGATGGATGGATGGATGGATGGATGGATGGATGGCTGGATGGATGGATGTTTGGATGGATGGCTGGATGGATGGATGTATGGATGTTTGGATGGATGGATGGATGTTTGGATGGATGGCTGGCTAGATGGATGGATGGATGGATGGATGGCTGGATGGATGGATGTTTGGATGGATGGCTGGATGGATGGATGTATGGATGTTTGGATGGATGGATGGATGGATGTTTGAATGGATGGATGGATGGATGTTTGGATGGATGGCTGGATGGATGGATGTATGGATGTTTGGATGGATGGATGGCTGGATGGATGGATGTATGGATGTTTGGATGGATGGATGGATGGATGGATGGATGGATGTTTGGATGGATGGATGGATGGATGTTTGGATGTTTGGATGGATGTATGGATGGATGTTTGGATGTTTGGATGGATGTATGGATGTTTGGATGGATGTATGGATAGCTGGATGGATGGATGGATGGATGGATGGATGTTTGGATGGATGGCTGGATGGATGTATGGATGTTTGGATGTTTGGATGTTTAGATGGATGGAAGGATGGATGGATGGATGTTTGGATGGATGGATGGATGGATGGATGGATGGATGTTTGGATGTTTGGATGGATGTATGGATGTTTGGATGGATGTATGGATGGCTGGATGGATGGATGGATGGATGGATGTTTGGATGGATGGCTGGATGGATGTATGGATGTTTGGATGTTTGGATGTTTAGATGGATGGAAGGATGGATGGATGGATGTTTGGATGGATGGCTGGATGGATGGATGTATGGATGTTTGGATGTTTGGATGTTTGGATGGATGGATGGATGGATGGATATTTGGATGGATGGATGGATGGATGTTTGGATGTTTGGATGGATGTATGGATGTTTGGATGTTTGGAAGGATGTATGGATGTTTGGATGTTTGGATGGATGTATGGATGTTTGGATGTTGGATGGATGGATGGATGTTTGGATGTTTGGATGGATGGATGTTTGGATGGATGGCTGGATGGATGGATGTTTGGATGGATGGATGGATGTTTGGATGGATGGCTGGATGGATGTTTGGATGGATGGATGGATGGATGGATGGATGTTTGGATGAATGTTTGGATGGATGGATGTTTGGATGGATGGATGGCTGGATGGAGGGATGTTTGGATGGATGGCTGTTTGGATGGATGGATGGATGGATGTTTGGAAGGATGGATGGATGGATGTTTGGATGGAAGGCTTGATGGATGGATGTTTGGATGGATGGATGGATGGCTAGATGGATGGATGGATGGATGGATGGATGTTTGGATGGATGGCTGGATGGATGGATGTTTGGATGGATGGATGGATGGCTAGATGGATGGATGGATGGATGGATGGATGTTTGGATGGATGGCTGTTTGGAAGGATGGATGGATGGATGTTTGGATGGATGTATGGATGTTTGGATGGATGTATGGATGTTTGGATGTTTGGATGGATGGATGGATGGCTGGATGGATGGATGTATGGATGTTTGGATGTTTGGATGGATGGATGGATGGATGGATGGATGGATGTTTGGATGGATGTATGGATGTTTGGATGTTTGGATGTATGGATGGATCTATGGATGGATGTATGGATGTTTGGATGTATAGATGGATGGATGGATGGATGTTTGGATGGATGTATGGATGTTTGGATGTTTGGATGTATGGATGGATGTATGGATGGATGTATGGATGTTTGGATGTATGTATGGATGCTTGGATGTTTGGATGGATGGATGAATGTTTGGATGGAGGG